GTCAATCTACCTGTTAAAGACCTATATAAGTGTTTATATATATATATATAAATATATATATATATAAAAACACTTATATAGGTCTCTAAACACTTATATAGGTCTCTATATCTATACAGATATAGAGATATCTAGATATATATCTAGGTGCTCCTATATTAGGTGTATGCATTTTATCAGTGTTTTATCCTCTTTTTGGATAGATTTCTTTAGTATTATGCAGTGACCATTGTTGTGTCTTGTGATGACCTTCATTTTGAAGTCCATTTTGTTTGATAAGAGCATTGCTACCCCAGCTTTTAATTTTCATTCCCATTTGCTAGGAAAATTGTTTTCCATCCCTTCACTCTCATTCAGTGTGAGTCTTTTGTTCTGAGGTGAGTCTCTTGTAGTCAGCCTATAGTTGGGTCACATTTTTGTATTCGTTTAGCTATCCTATGCCTTTTGATTAGAGCATTTAATCCATTTACTTGTTGATAGATACTTATTTATTGCCATTTTAATTCTGTACATCTAGATTTCTCTCTCTATTTCTTCTCATTACATCAAAGTCCCTTTAGCATGTCTGCATGTCTTGCAGTGCTGGCTTGGTGGTGGTGTACTTCTTTAGCCTTTTTTTTTTTTTTTTTTTTTTTTCCCGTCTGGAAAGCTTTTTATTTGGCCATCTATTGTGAATGAAAGCCTTGCTGGATATAGTAATTTTGGTTTCAGATCATTGCTTTCTATTACCTTGAGTACTTCATGCCATTCCATTCTGGCCTGTGGAGTTTTTGATGAGAAATCAGGTGTCAGTCAGTCTTATGGGAGCTCCTTTGTAGGTAACAGTTCTCTTGTCGCCTTTAAGATTCTCTTTGTCTTTAATTTTTAGCATTTCTTATGATGTATCTTGGTGTAGGCCTGTTTGATTTCTTGCTTGGGGTTCTCTGTGACTCCTGAATTTGTGTGACTTTTTTTCTTTGCCAGGTTAGGGAAATGTTCTGCCATTATTTCTTCAAACATATCCTCTCTCTCTTGCTGCCTCTTCTGGCACCATGCTATATTGTTAGGTTTCATGTTGTGCCGCAGCTCCCTTGAGCTGTCCACCTTTTTTTAAATAGTTTTTTTTTTCTTTTTGATTCTCCTATTAAGTGGTTTTTCAACCCTGTCTTCTTATTCACTGATTTGATCTTCAGCTTTTCCTAATCTGCTGTGTATTCCTTCCAATGTGTTCTATGTTTGTGCTATGTCATTCTTTATTTCTGTTTTCATAGTTAACTCTATCTTTTCCATGGTATTGAGCATCTTTACGATCATTAATCTGAAATAATTTTCAGATAAATTTTTTTCCTAATATAATTTTATTGATTTCAGAGAGGAATGGAGGAGAGAGATTTAGTAACATCAATGATGAGAATTATTGATCGGCTGCCTCCTGCATACCCCCTATTGGTGATTGAGCCCACAACCCAGGCATGTCCCCTTGACTGGAATTGAATTTGGGATACTTCAGTCTGCAGGCCAGTACTCTATCCTCTCAGCCAAACTAGCAAGGGCTCAGATATTTTTTATTTTCTTTTTAATATCTGCTTTAATTGTCTCTTCTTCTGAGGAATTCTCTTGTTCTCTAATTTGGGGGTGGTCTTTGTCTCCTTATTTTGGCTGCCTGTTTGGATTTGTGACTCTACTTGGTAGATCCTCTGGGCCTCTCAATCTCTAATGTCAAACATTGTTTCTGATTAATTAGATAAGGCTACCACCTCTGCCTACAGACTAATTGAATTCTGACTTTGATTGCTCTCAGGTAATTGTCCTCAGGTGTGACAAGATATTTTTTTTTAACAGGGTGTGGCAGTTGCTTTTACCTGGAGGCTAATTTTTATTTTTAGTCTCTTAAGTGGCCTCAGGGCAAAGAGTTTTCCAGTAGGGTGGGTCAACTGTCTCCCCCCCCCCCTCCCCCGCCCCCAGGCCACACAAAAATGTCTGTGTGGGATCTATGTCTTCTGCTGTGTGATAGAATGACTCAGCACAGGAAATTACAGATGTCTGTCTTCTGAACTCTATCCCTCGAATCCCCCAATCCTGGTTTCTGGTCACTCCCCTCCAGTCCACTCTGTCCTGCCTCTGCCAGAGCAGAAGGTGGGTGGCTCCCCAGGGAATTTTGTGCATTGGCCCTTCAAGAGGGTGCCTGAATTTCAAGCTGTCACACCCTAGAAGGCAGCAGTCAGCTGCTTTTCACAGCCAGATGTTATGTGGGTACCCTTATCACTTCTGTTGCTCTCTGCTGGGGCGCCCAGATTGGGGATTAAATTCCATAAATATCAATAGCTGAGTTATCTCTCGGGAACTTCAGTTCCTGGGTTGAGTACTTGGCCAGCCCTTTCATGCCTCTGCCTCTCCTAACAGTCTTTTTTTTTTTTTTTTTTTTTTTTTTTTAATATATTTTATTGATTTTCTTACAGAGAGGAAGGGAGAGAGATAGAGAGCTAGAAACATCGATGAGAGAGAAACATCGACCAGCTGCCTCTTGCACACCCCCTATTGGGGATGTGCCCGCAACCAATGTACTTGCCTCTGGCCGCAATCGAACCTGGGACCTTTCAGTCCGCAGACCAACGCTCTACCGCTGAGCCAAACTGGTTTCGTCTAACAGTCTTTATGTGGTCTCTACTTTTGATCCTTGGGTATCAGGTTTCTCTCCAGGGAGTTTTCCATTGGTTATTCAGGAAGCTTTTATGTATTTTTGTTCTAATTCCACTTTGTTTCTGGGAGATGTTCATGCAGCATCCACTTACTCTGCCACCATTTTTAAATCTCCTCCCAGTCTACTTTTAATACCTGGCAGTGTGTTCTTGATATCAGATATGTCATTCTTCATTTCTGTCTGGTTCTTGTTCATGGCTTTTATTTTTCTTTTCATGCTGTTGCAATTTGCTCTAAGTTCCTTAGTTATCTGTATAACCATTGCTTTGAACTGTGTGTCTGATAGTTACTTTTCTCCATTTCATTTATTTCTTTTTCTGGAGATTCTTTTTTCTAATTTGGTGTTTCCTTCTTTGTCTCCCATTTTAGCTGTCTTTTTATTTGATTCTATGTATTATTTGTTTCTATGAACTGCTGTGCATCCTAGTTTTTATAGGCTGGCCTAATGTATTATAAATAGTGTTTTGATGCAATTTCTTTGTTTACCTGTGCCAGATGCTCTAGAAGTGCTGTTTATGTGAGTTATTTGGGCTCTCCAGTTGTAATTGGGACTTGATTGTTGATGTCTTGTTTGTGGAAAGGATCTCTCTTCTGACTTGTCATTACAGAGAGGATCAACCATTACATTGTTTTGCCAGCTCTTATACAGGTGCTGACAAAAGGGAATAAGGCAAAACAGGGTGAAGCCAAAAACAGCATGAAAATCAAGCTACTCAGTGCAGTAACAATAGGAAAGACTAAGAAGGAAAAATAAAAGAAAGCAACTCAAAGAAAAAATATACTAAAATATGTGCAACCAAAGACTTAGAGGGGATATAAAGAAAAAGGGAGAAAGAAGACAAAAAGATGGCTATGTGGAAGCAAAGAAGAAGCTAAAAGAACTAGTATAGGAGGAAAAAGAAGAAACAGGAAATAGATGAAATAATTATGATAAAATTAAAATGCAGTAATAATAGGTGTATTAAGATATAGATAGGAAAAGCAAAATGGCAAAGAAATGAGTAAAAGACAAAACCAAATAAAATAAGAAAATTTAATAATAATAATAGGCTAAAGTACAATAGAATCAAAGGAAATTAGAGATATGCAAGAAAAAAGAAGAAAAAAAGATAAACTAACAACAAAAAATAAAGCACACACACACACACACACACACACACACACACACAGCAAAGAAAAATCACACACACTCACACACTGAAAGTCCTTTGGGTCCTTTATTTGTGGGCCTCATAGGATTTTGCTCTGATGTTATTGAATCTGGTCCCTTGGTGTGTCTATTCTGGGCTTCCTAGGAGCTGTTCCAGTGCAGGTGAATGTGAGTCACTGTCCCTTTCTGGCTCTGGCCAACCTGATTGAGGTCTGAGAGGTTGAAGCCACTAGTGTCCAGTGGTGGGGATTGGTCCAAAGGCTGGGTCATCATTGGGTTTCACACCTTGATTGTTTCTGTTCTGAGCTGTATTCCTTTCCCCCACATCTCACAGGTGTTAGTTGCAAGTACTTGGGGCCGAAAGGGGGCATAGGCACAGAGAGGATCAATCACTGCATTGTTTTGCCAAAGAGGATCAACCACTGCTGGTATTCAACTGGCTGGCTGACTAGTACCTGAGGCTGGGTTGCGCAAAGTGCTGCTGGCTTTCCATTCACTTGCAATCCTGGCTGGTACCTTCGGCAGGGGCATGCACCCAGTCCTGCTAGTGTTCCACTCGCTAGTGGACCTGGGGGATACCTACAAAGGGGTCTCATGGGAGGTCCCACTTGTGTCCTACTTATTGTGTTATCCAGGGTGGTGTCCATGGCTAGCATATTTTCTCCTTATTGGTTGTGGGCACTGACATCTCTGAGGGCGGGGCAGTCAGTTACCACATTCCCTCCTTATTGGCTGTGGGCATTGCCACCTTTGCAATGGTATGAGGGTCAATTAGCATATTCCCTCTTTATTAGATAGGATGGGTCTAACAAACTACATATTTTTTATGCAATGTTATTAAGTAAGCATTTAAAATTTAATGGAGCTGAAGCCTATTTGGCTCAGTGGTAGAGCGTTGGTCTGCGGACTGAAAGGTCCGGGTTCGATTCCAGTCAAGGGCATGTACATTGGTTGCAGGCACATCCCCTGTGAGGGGTGTGCAAGAGGCAGCTGGTTGATGTTTCTCTCTCATTGACATTTCTAGCTCTCTATCTCTCTCCCTTCCTCTCTGTAAAAAATCAATAAAATATATTTTTTAAAAAATTTAATGGAAATCCCAGATAAGATATGATAAAGAAGAAGTTTATTGTATGTTTATTATTTATAATATTCTGTTTATCACTTTTGTTAGGTTAATAATAATGAAATGGTTGCATTACAACGAGAACCCAATAATCCCTATGATAAGAATGCAATTAAAGTAAACAATGTGAATGGAAATCAGGTTGGCCATTTAAAGAAAGAACTTGCAGCTGCTTTGGCCTATATTATGGACAACAAATTGGCACAAGTTGAAGGGTAATGTATTTCAGAGTTTAGTTTTAATAATTTTGAGTTGTATTGATGTTTCAATTTGTTGTGTCTGTATAGTTATCATGACAACTTTTATCAGGACACCTTTAGTATGTGTTTAATACATGTTTTAATTCTCCTGTCATTTACCTCTACTACCTAGCTATTCTCTCATTTTTCTTTTGAATTATTGCCTTGGAGAAAAATAGATTATGGTTTAAATATTAGGAAATTCACACTATCTCTCCAAATCTTTTAGTGCATAGATTTGGGAGTTTGGAAATGTTTATTTAAATCAGAGGTTGTGAAGCTGGTAGCCTGTGATCAAATGTAGGTCAGCTTCATTTTGCCTACACAGTGTTTAAAAATTAAAATTTCCCCCAGTATTTTAATATCTGGATATTCTATATTTTATATGTTATTTTTTTCTGAATATAAGAATTATTTATGAAGATTTTTCTTGACAAATGGAAGATTTGGTTATGCTGATCTCTCATTTTTACATGACGTCAATTGACTGCTGCTGAGTATAAGCTATAGCTTTATCCAGGGCATACTCCAGTTCTTTTGTACATTGTGTTTGTGATGTAAGTTGATGTATGGAATGTTTAGGATATAAAAAAGTTAATTTGAAAGACAAAGGCTCAGAAATGTCTTCTCACTTTATTTGTGTACTTGTTTTTTTCTTTCTCAGTCATCATTTTTTTCAAATATTGAGCATAACAGAAATAGTTCTTACAAATAATTCTCTAATCTCAGAATGGGTTGCTAGTCTCTGGTTATATTAATGAAAGCTCTACCCTCTCAGTTAAACTTACTATTTTACTTATCTTACAATATTGATTATAGACTGTTCTTATATTTTAACACTGCTTTATCTATCTAGTCTACTCTGTTTCTTCTGATTATTGTTGGTCCTGTAAAAACCACCCTTTTCTTCTGATTATTGTTGGTCCTGTTCCTATCATTTTTCTTTCTAATCTGCCCACTAGTCCTCCCTATTTTACTTCTTGCAAAATTTGAATGCAACATAGATTCTTAATGGGAGTAAAAAAATGGATACTTTTAATTTCTCACATTTTTTCCTTCTTAAATACAATAGGGTAGTCCCTTTCGGTGCAAACAATGCTTTTACCATGCCTCTGCATATGACTCTTTGGGGAAAAGAAGAAAATAGAAAAGCGGTTTTAGATCAGTTGAAAAAACATGGATTTAAATTGGATCCTGCACCAAAAAGTAAGTTTAGGGTTTAACCTACGGTACTATTATTTTGATATTGTAAAAATGTAGGAATTGCAAACATTTGTTATCTTAAGTGATACTTTGAGTTTGGTTGACTAAACTAATTTGCATGAAGGCTCTAAGTTATAAAATTTTTGTTTTTTTAAAGGAAATCCGGGAATTTTTTCCTCTTTATTTTGAAACAACTATAGTTTCATAGGAGGTTTTACACACCAAAACACACACACACACACACACACACACACACACACACAAATATACAAGGAGGTCGTATAAGTCCCTCCCTGAAATTCCTCTAATGATAATATCTAGAAATCTTGATTATAAATATTCTCTTTGATAAATTACATAGAGAATGGAAAAGAATTATTTGTTTAGCAAGTGTTTGTTCAAATTATGTGGAATTATTTTAATAATGTATTAATGACAGGATTTAGCTTTAAAACTTTTTTTTTAATCCTTTAGGATTTGTTTTTATTTTATTTTAGAGAGAAAGGATGGGAGAGAGTGTGTGTGAGAGAGAAACATCGATGTGATAGAGATATCAATCACCTGCCTCCTGCATACACCCTGACTGGGGATTGAACCTGGATATGTTCCCTGCCCTGAAATCAAACTCATAACTTTTTGGTGTATGAGATGACACTCCAAGTAACTGAGCCACACTGGCCAGGGCTAAAAAACTTTAAAATATATTAAGGAATATTTTTAATGGAGCTTATTTTATAAGTCTTAAAAGCTATTTTCTAAAAGATAACCTATTTCATTTAGTGATTTTATCTTCATTTTATAAATTATAGCTTTTGGATTCAGTTTGGAAAGTGGTTGGGGCTCTGGAAGAGCTGGGCCAAGCTATAGTATGCCAGTTCATGCTGCAGTACAGCTGACAACTGAACAGGTGTGCTTTTCTTATATCTTGTAATCTAACAAAAGTGACTTTTAAATGAAGAGTGGTGTTTAAAAGAATAAGATAAATAAGTATGTGCTGGCATTAGTGATCTTCAGATATATTGTTAAGTTATGAAACATGTAGAATAAATATATTATATATTGCAAACATTTATGTAAAAAGAAATCAGTGATAAAGAATACATCGATGGGCTCACATTCATACATACATTTAAAACACATATATTGCTGTATATGCATGGGATGTTTCAGTTTATTTTAATTTTGTTGTGCTTGAAATTTTTGGACAATCCAAGTATTTTTTAAAAGTTGAAGCTTGAAACTTAACTCCTTTTAGTAAGGTTGCAAATACAGTGCTAAAAAAAAAAATTCCTATTATTTGGCATTACTCTAATTCTTAACTTTGTCTAATTTGTAATTTAGGATACTGTTATTCTGATTTAGTTTGGGGGGGAGGGAAAGGGATATGAAATAAAGTAATGCAGATCATTCTGCACCAAATAACATCATTTTTTTTTTTTTGTTTCTACCCATCAGTATTAGTGTCAACCTTTTTCTATTCTGATGGTAATTACTGAATTTACCCTTCTTATTGTTAGAAAGTCTTGAGCCTATGTCTGGTGAGTAAACTTCAGGTTACCTCTTCTAACTATTTAGAGCTGGCCTGATTTCTTCTGGACTATTGCTATATATTCATGTGATATTTACAAAAGTAATTCTAACAGATATACATTGCTATAAAATTTTATTAGATCCAGTTTAAAGAACCAACTAAATTAGTATAATATTGAAATCATCCCAGTATTTTATATTATACAGCAATATTTTTACTGTAGTAATAAATAAAAAGTCATTGACTGAAAAAAATGTACCTGGTAGTATCTACAACTTTCCAGATGAAGCCTCGGAGGCAGGTTACCTTTTATTTCTAAACAACTTATTTATTCTGTATTCACTGAGCAATATAGTATTTTAAATAATTGATGCACCTCTTGTTATTCAACTTTTATAGTTAATTAAATTTCCCAGTTGTGTATTATTTTAATTGTTTTGTTTCATATTTCTTATTGCTATTTGTTGTAGCTTAAGACAGAATTTGACAAATTGTTTGAAGATCTAAAAGAAGATGATAAAACTCATGAAATGGAACCAGCTGAGGTACTTAACCAGTATTTTAAATTTATTAATATTCTATTAATTTATACATTTTTATCACAAAATTAGCTGTTTTCCAGATTCAGGGTTGGGGGGGTATGAAAGTACTTATTGTACCTCTATTTATGACATTTCTTTTATTTGTAGGCTATTGAAACACCATTGCTCCCACATCAAAAACAAGCTCTAGCTTGGATGATTTCCCGGGAAAACAGTAAAGAACTTCCACCATTCTGGGAACAGCGAAGTGACTTATACTATAACACAATAACAAATTTTTCTGAGAAGGATCGACCGGAAAATGTTCATGGAGGAATTTTAGCTGATGATATGGGTTTGGTAATTATTCTTTTTCTTGAGTTAGAAAATTCTATTTTGTAATTGTGATTTTATAGAAAGTAATTTTGAAGTAGGTAAGAGGAATATGTTAATGCCAGTTTGGGACTATTTTACTTCCATTGTAGAACACAGTTTTTTCCTATGGTTTAAATTAAAATAATGGTAAGCTTTTTGTTTTTCTACACTTAAAGTACAATTAAAACAATTGATGTCATGATATTAACATGTGTTTCTCAAATTTTTTTGAAAGGAAAGAAAAGACAACAGTGTTTTGAAAATTATTTGTAATATGTCACAAATGTTGTGATATGCAGAATATTTAAATGTACATTTTATTTATGACTCCTTACACCAGCAGTTTTTATACTTTTTGGTCTCAGGGACCCTTTACATTAAAATATTCTTGAGCAGCCCTAAGAGCTTTTGTTTTTGTGGGTTATATCTATTAATATATCTATAAATATTTATACTATTAGACATTAAACAAAAAATTTTAAATTATTAACTGAAAAATAACATGAGAAGCATATATATATATATATTTTTTTTTAACGTGAGAAGCATATATATATATATATATATATATATTTTTTTTTTTTTTTTTTTAATATATTTTATTGATTTTTGTACAGAGAGGAAGGGAGAGAGATAGAGAGTTAGAAACATCGATGAGAGTCATCGATCAGCTGCCTCTTGCACACCCCCTACTGGGGATGTGCCCGCAACCAAGGTACATGCCCTTGACCGGAATCGAACTCGGGACCTTTTAGTCCCCAAGCCGACGCTCTATCCATTGAGCCAAACCGGTTTTGGCGAGTAGCATATTTTTTTTTAATGAAAAGTATTCCAAGACAAAAACAATTTTGATAAGAAAACTCAAATTTAGTTTTGCAAATCATTTTAATGTCTGGGCTAATAGATGACATCTGATTCTGGTTTTTTATTCAGTCCGTTGTGATATGTCTTTTGCTTAGAATATGTAAAGAAATTTAATCCTTACACAGATATGTAGTTGGAAAGGAAGCAGTGTTTTAAGATAGCCTTTGTAGATAAGTATATTCTTCTTTGATACAATAAAAAATCAGGCAAGTATTAGTTCATTACATATTGTAGTTATAATGTGGAACTTAAAAGTCATATCAGTGAACTTCTTATACTCTGCTCTATTAAAATCCTTTGGTATAACTTACACATTGAATGCATATTTTACCCATGCATGATTTTATAACATCAGACATTTTATAAAAGTATTCACTGAGTTATACAGCTTTATCAAATGTCAATGCATTTCATTATATTATATTATATTATATTAACAATTTTAATTCATTGGTAATACTATTGATCTTATTAGGCATTTACATTTTGGAAAGCTGCTATTTCCATAATATTGGATACAAGTTTTCCAATAGTCTGATTTTTGCTTGAAAGTTGAAATTTTATCATTAACAACAAATGCTATCAATTGTTTCCCTAGAAGGTGATAGACTCACTTTGTTCACTTTTCAAGAAAATGTCTGCCACTTTGTCATGAATAACTAGTTGTTGGTTATTCTTTCAAGTAAAATTAGTGATACATAAAAAGTGATGTGAGGTGATGCATGGTGGTTAGTCTCACAGTGATTTTTCCCTAGATTGTTCTTGTATTTTGGTGTCAAAAGAAGTATTTTATGTGTACTTCCCATCTTGTTATACAGAATATTTTAACGATGTGTACTTACAAGGCAAGGTTCAATAAAATTAATGTGTACAGCTTCATCAAGAATATTTTTAACATTTCTTGAAGTGAAACTGGCATTTACATTTTTTTAAATTATGCAGTAATACAATAATCACTATTAGAAAGTAGTGTCACCTGTTTTGTTTCATGCTAAGGCACTAGCAATTTTGCCTACCATTGCTTTTTGGGGCATTCCTACAGATGTTAACACAAATAAGATTTTAGAAGTATTTTGATAATTATTTTGATTGCACAGAACTCCTGAAAGGGTCCTGAGGTTCTCTAGGGCCTGTGGATCACACTCTGAAAATTGGTGCCTTACACGGCTTTAAAATTCCCAGATTTAGCCAGGACCGGTTCGGCTCAATGGATAGAGCGTTGGCTTGGGGACTGAAAGGTCCCGGGTTCGATTCTGGTCAAGGGCATGTACCTTGGTTGCGGGCATATCTCCAAGTGGGGGGTGTGCAAGAGGCAGCTGATTGATGACTCTCATTGATGTTTCTAACTCTCTATCTCTCTCCCTTCCTCTCTTTACAAAATCAATAAAATATATTTAAAAATAAATAAATAAATAAAATTCCCAGATTTGTTTCTGTGTTGCTAACTATAAATTCAGGTATGGCCAAAAATAAAAAATTGCATGTTTTATTTAAGAAAAACCTATATGATATATCATGTTCTTTATAGCTTTTAAGTGTTAGAATTATATTTAAATGAAATTTAATAAAATGATTATCTTATGTGTATACTTGAAATGACTAATAATTTTAAATTAGCTTTGAATTATATAGCATGCAAAAGTTGTAGTTTAATGATAAAGTTATTAGTTCAGGGTTAAATGTAAACTCTTAGAACAGCAGTCACTTAATAAAACCATGTTTCTCAGAGATGTTTATATTATAGTATTGTATGAGTAAACTAGAGGCCCAGTGCATGAAATTCATGCACTTTGGGGGGGTTTCCTAGCCTGGCCTGTGCCCTCTCACAGTGTGGGAGCCCCATGATCGATCACCCCAAAGAGGTAGCTCCTGCCCACCCATCCAGTGCTCTTTGATGGATTGCCCCAAAGAGGTAGGCTGGAGCCAGGGGTCCTGTCCCTGTGGCGTGCACGTGGGGCTGCGGGGACTACTTAGCCTTTTATTAGTAAGGATAATTTAATAATTTTAACAATGCAGTGTGGGAAAGTATTTCTAAATAACACAGTTTTAATTAATATGTTTATTATCTATATACTAGAGGCCTGGTGCATGAAAATTCATGCACTGGAGGGGGTGTCCCTCAGCCCAGCCTTCCCCCTCTCAAGGTACGGGAGCCCTCAGAGGCAGGAGGTGACCCGGCAATCAGGGGAAAGCAACGCCCCATCACACCTCTGCTGCTGCTACTGCTGGCAGCTCAAGCCTTTCCAGCCCTGATTACCTGAGTCTTAGCTGGCCCTGTGTGGCTAGGCAGCTGCCATCTGAGGCTTGTCTGCACGTTGGGTGTCGGCTGTGCAGTTACCATCTGAGGCTTGCATGTGCCTTGGGCCAGACCTGGGTGCCTGGGGGGCTGAGGGGACTGGGGGACTCCAGAGGCAGACATGTGGAGTTGCTGGGCCCATCCTCAGGCGCCTGCCACCCCAGCGGGGCTGAGGGGACTGGGTGCCACCATCTTGTGGCTGTGGGCACTGCCATATTTGAGGGTGGGGCAGTCAGTTAGCATAGACCTCCTTATTGGCTGAGGGCGCTGTATCTTTGTGATGGCGTGAGGGTCAATTAGCATATTCCCACTTTATTAGATAGGATATAAAAAAGTAATATACAAATTAGTCCAGGACACTGTAATAGTCATGACCAGTCAGGAGGAGGATATTCACAGGTGAGGCCCAGAGTGGAGACAGAGATAGACACAGGGGGAACTGCCTAAGTCTGCTGGCTGGCCAAGGGGTCCCTGGAACAGACACTGACAGAGGAGCCTGGGGTGGGCACTGATAGGGATGCTTGGGGCCACCCAAGCTACCACACTGGCTTGGATAGCCCCAGAGCAGACACAGAAGGGGAGCCCGGGGCTGCTCTAGCTGCAGTGCACCAACAATCCTGCTCTTTGCATGAGCTGCAGAGGAAACACCTATTCTGACTGCTCATTGGCTCAGCTCTCAGTTTGCCACTCACAGTGTTCTTGTTAACTTGGGTAATAAGGATTCAAGAAGGTGGTCTAGGGTTTTTCCACCACACTCCTGGAGGAAAAAATGAAGGTCCACTGCTAGAGGGGCTAAGAAATGTCATATCCTGCCCTACCGGTTTGGCTCAGTGGATAGAGCCTTGGTCTGTTCACTGCAGGGTCCAGGTTCGATTCTGATCAAGGGCATGTACATAGGTTACAGGCTCCTCCCTGGCTGGGGCCCAGGTCAGGGCTCATGCAGGAGGCATCCAATCGAAGTGTCCTTTTCACATTGATGTTTCTCTCTGACTTTCCCTCTCTCTTCCACACTCTCTAAAAAACAATGGAAAAATACCTTAGATGAGGATTGAAAGAAAGAAAGAAATATCATATCCTATGAAAGAGACATCTTGAATGCCTAAAGAAAGTTGTCATTTTTTCGTGGTGAAGGGAATGGAGTCCGTGTTGATGAAAACACCTTGTGGCTGTGGTGGTGGGCAGTTGCAGCAGCAGCAGGATGATGGGGATGGCGCCTTCCCTTAATTAGCTGGTTGCTTCTCATAGAGGAAGGTCAGACTGCAGCTAAGCCAGCAGTAGGACATCCCTTGAGGGTTCCCAGACCATGAGAGGGTGCAAGCTGGACTGAGGGACCTCCCGCCCCTCCCCGCCAGTGTATGAATTTTGTGCACCGGGCCTCTAGTTTAATATAAAAATCAGTACAATTCTGTGGTTTTGAATGGTGTTTGATACTTAACTTGATTTTAAATTGGTTTTGGAATGTTCTCTCATCAACTGGGTTTTAGAATCTGACTATCTTTTTTTAAGGGCAAAACTCTTACAACCATTGCAGTAATTCTTACCAACTTCCATGATGGTAAACCTCTTCCTGTTGAAAGAATTAAAAAAAGTCAACCGAAGAAGGTAAAATATTAGTATGTTTGTTTTTTTTTGTTGTTGTTTTTTTTGTTTTTTCCCTCTGAAGTCTTTGGTTTATTTTTAAAACTTTTAATTTTGTCATTAACAAATAATTGCCAAAAAATTGTTTTCAGAGCATCAGGTCTCTCATTTGCTACTAATAAGACTGAAAATCAGTGCCACATTCTTGAGGGCATTTGGTAATTTGTATCAAGAGCCTTGAAAATGTTTATAATCTTCTACTCAATAATGTCATTTTAAAGAAACTACCTAAAGAAGTTATCAGAAATATATTTTTTCCAAAGAGAAAAGTACAAGTTTATTTTCCCCTGGCATTATTTTAAACACAAAAAAGAAACACCTTTCAGATAAGCTAATATTCAATAGTTAAATTATAAAATAGATATAAAATTTAATAGTTATACAAAATTACAAAATTCTATTTTTGAATAATATTGTCATGATATTTTCTTAGTTAAAAAAGGCGAGTGGCACCCTCACTGGCTCAGTGGTAAAATGTCAGCCCACACACTCAAGGGTCTCCAGTTCGGTTCCTGGTCAAGGACATATATCCGAGCCCTGGTTGGGGTGCGTGCAGAAAGCACCAATCAGTGTTTCTTTCTCACACTGATATTTCTCTCTCTCTTCTTCTCTCTTTCTTTCCCTCTCTCCCTCTCCCTTTCTTTCTCCCTCTCTTTTTCTTTCTTCTTCCCTGTCCTCGCTCCTTTCTACTTTCTCTAAAACAATCAATGGAAAAAAATATCATTGGGTGAGAATTAACAAAAAACACACACAAAAAAACAGGGCTAAGTCCATATCTGTATATAGTGTTTGACTCCTCATTTTATAAATACATATTTATGTATATCTAAATATAGTTATACACTATATGTGCCAAAATGTTAATAGTGATAATTATGATCTAATGATGAGAATATGGGTGACTTTTCTATTTATCTTGAGTGTGTGTGTGTGTGTGTGTGTGTGATGTATGCCTAATATAGTTATATTCAGTTTCTAACAAAGTGAAAAATAAATATTATTAAAGTGAAACAGTATTCTTTGTTCTGAGCTGAAAATTCAAAGAACTTAACGTAGGAAATAACTAAGCAAAAGATCTGTGCAAAAATATTTTTTAAGACTTCTAAATTTTTAGATTTCAAAGAGACTGCACTCTAGTTTCCTGCCACTGATTATTAAATTTATTAATGTCTGCACTTAGTTGCATTTTCTTCTTTAAACTTTCATTGCGAGTTAACTCATCTGAGATCTAATTCCCTACCTGAATTCTAATGCTTTATATACTGTTATTTTTACATTTGGTCATTCAAAGAAAAGCAGCTAAGACTATTTATAGCTTCAGTGTCAGTTATCAATTTGAAACTTATCTATTATTGGTAAGACTCTTCCCCTCTTCTTATCCCCCCCAAGATTAGCCATGCATTTAAGGTGTTATATATTTGGAAGGTTTTTGGCTAGTTTGCTACATTAATTGAAATTGAGGCTGAAATGTGATTTCCAGCTTAGAATTTATTGCAACAAAAATTCCAGTATTTTAAGTAGATTTAGATATTCCAAGCTTAACAGAGAAAAATATAATTGATTTAAATTTCATTAGATGCCGAAACTGGTTTGGCTCAGTGGTAGAGCATCGGTCTGCGGACTGAAAGGTCCCAGGTTCGATTCCGGTCAAGAGCATGTACATTGGTTGCGGGCACATCCCCGGTAGCGGGTGTGCAAGAGGCAACTGGTTGATGTTTCTCTCTCATCGACTTTTCAATAAAATCAATAAAATATATTAAAAAATAAATTTCATTAGATGATTGGATAGATTGGATGTTTTAGAAAATTTGTCTTTGAACTCTATGGAGTAAAAGCTTGCCTAAATAAAATTAATATAAAATGAATAATGTAAAGAGTATCTTTTATTTGTGGATACAATTTTAGATATTTTTGCATACTGTTTAATAAAAATGATTGTATGAACTATTGAAGAAGATTTAAGATCATTTTTAAATATTAGTTCCTTGGAGTTATTAATGCTTTAAAAATTATCTAAAAATAACTCTTCTAGCTACATAGCTCTAAAAATGTTACATTTTGGATTTTCCCACCCATACCATTAGAAGGGGATGTATCTTCTTTCAGTCACATTTAAAAAAAAAAAAAAAAAAAAAAAATATATATATATATATATATATATATATTTTATTGATTTTTTACAGAGAGGAAGGGAGAGAGAGAGAGAGCTAGAAATGTCGATGAGAGAGAAACATCGACCAGTTGCCTCTTGCACACCCCCTACCAGGGATGTGCCCGCAACCAAGGTGCATGCCCTTGACTGGAATCGAACCCGGGACCCTTCAGTCCGCAGACCGACGCTCTACCACTGAGCCAAACTGGTTTCGGCCCAGTCACATTTTTTATAAATCCTAACTGTCATGGGATTTTGTAAAATGTTTAAAATTCTGTGTTTTGTTTTTTGTTTTTTTTTTAACTAAAATCAAATATCCTTTATTACCCCTAATTTTCAGCAAAAATTATTATACTCCTGTCTACCAATTTCGCCCTCCAATCTGAAGTTTTGATTTGTAATATGACAACTTCACCTACTTACTTTTTTTAACCTACAAAAATTAATTCAATTAAACCCCATTTTATTTGGGTTTATTCCTACTTATAGAATCAAGTCAAGAATTAGAAGTAAGATGGGAGGAATCCTTCCTCACTAGACTCAGTTAAAAGTATTTTCATGAAGAAGTATAAAGTTTTACTTTTGTAGAAATTTTTGTGCTGATGTGTACATTGATGCATTTTGAAACAAAAGGGTATACATGAAGGAAAAAGGAAAGTCAGGTTGACAGCAAAATCTCTGGTAGAGTAAAACGAGAGAAAAAGCATGGCAGTGACAGCCTCATTAAAGATCTATTATTGCTGTAGGGACTCTTGTTTTGAAAGCTATTTTCTGAGAATTTCTTTTAATTCTAAAGTAACTCCCATTTCATGAATGTTTCTCATATAAACTAACATGCCATTTATAACTGAAGTTTGCTTTTTGTATTCTTTTTGCAAGGTAAAGATCTACTACTTTTCTTTTTTGAGATACCTGTGGAAAAAATTTTAATCAGTTTGTGGATGTTTTATTTTTACTTAATACACCTTTCCCCTTTACTCCAGAATGTAGTAACAACTTAGTCTTTTTTATGTAAAGTAAAGAAATATAAAATAGGATACATTTTAAGCTTATTTAAAACTGACAATAGTACTATGTAACAAATATGCCTTTTCATCCAGGAATGTAATATTAACAATGGATCTCTGAAACTTGGAAGAAACAATACCAGTGAAAAGACAGATGAACTAACCAAAGGTAAACTTTAATTTTGAATATGATCTCATATTTTATTGAGATTTTTAAATTATTATTTTAAAATCTTTATTGTTGAAAGCATTACATACGGCCCTCCTTTCCCCCCACTGACCTCTTCTAACCTGTCCCATCCTCTATCCCAGGCCTTCACCACCGTATTGTGAAATTATTCAAAGTTAGTTATATAATTCTAGCTCTGGGGCTCTGTGCTGTACAAAAACTTCTAATCCCTTTTTCTGAAGGATGATAGGAAAAATTCCATTAATGAGGTGATGTTGGAATTGGGTGGTAGTACATCAGGCAGAGAAGCTGAGGAAGAGCATTATGCAAGAAACATCCTGTGAAAAGTAGCAAAACAGCAAAATAAAAACAGAGTCATAGAGCATATTTTGTTCTATGAACTCAGAGTAGTTTATGGTATTTATACTGTAACCAGGGCTCCAGTGCACAAATTCTTGCATCTTAAAAATAACTGTGGGCTGTGGGGCTGTGGTGGGCACAGGGGTGGGTCTCAGCTCATACTCCTAGCCCTGACCTGGACCCTCCTGCTGCAGCCCCCAGTCCCATCTGCCCGCAGCCCCACTCGTGCTCCCATGCACTGATGGCACCGGCCCCACTCGTATTCACTGATGGTGCAGAATGATTGAGGTTGGCGCCAGCAGCTGATGCAAGCAGGGCTGGCGACTCTCAATGGGTGTGAGTGGTTGCTGCTGCTCTGATCACCCCTCAGGAGCAGAGGAAGGTGGAGAAGCCTTCAGAAGTTATTGGGTCAGCAGCTGCCGCTTGCACCCACTGATGGTGCTGAGCGATTGAGACCGGGGCTGAGTGCCAGCACGGGGGTAAGTGGCAGCTCCGGTATCAGCTGTGGATGTGAGCGGGGTTGGTGCTGGCAGTGAGTGTGAGTGGCATCTCTGGCACTGGCAGCCGGTGCGAGAGGCAGCTGCCTGCCCCGATTGCTCCTCAGGAGCAGGGATAGGTGGAGAAGCCCTGAGAGGTGAAGCCCTGGCAGCTGCTACTCAAACCCACTGATGGCACCAAATGATCGGGATGGCACAGGCACTGGCAGCAGGTACTAGCAGGGCCAGCACCAGCAACTGATGTGAGCCACGGGACCGCCATGTGCAGGACAAAGAATTTTCAGTAACAACCAGAGGCTCACACTGATAATGGCAACCGGTACCCTGCCTTGGTCTGGCTCTCTCGTTCACCTGCTTCCCCCATCACGCCGTGGCCAATGCCCACCATGTTCTGTCATCTGCTGCCTGCTGCAAACACCTGCCATGTTCCATATGTGCCCCCTGGTGATCAGTGCACATCATAGCGACCTTTTGTTTGGTTGTTCTGCAATTCAGTCTATTTGCATATTAGGGTTTTATATATGTAGATATGCATGGACAGCAGCACCTATGGAAAGAGGTTAGAAACAAATTCTGAAGTCAGAAGAAGTAATGAGATCTATGGACTTAGCAGTTATATGGTTGGATTTAGTACCATATTTTCCGGCGTATAAGACGACTTTTGAAACAAAAAAAAGTCAACCGAAAATCGGGGGCAAAAGACCAAAATTGCACAAAAATTACCTGCAGATCTTGACGGCAAAGTAAGTCTTTTCTTTGAAGTGGGGGGTAGTCTTATACAGCGAATATAGGCATAAACCTGTTTTAATTGTAAAATTAGGGGGTCGTCTTATACGCCGGAAAATACAGTAATCACTTCACAAATTAATTTCTGAAGATTGATTAGAGCAGAACAGGCTGAAAATATTTTAAGAATAGTAGGTGAAGAATTGGAAATACAACTGTGTGCTATTTGCAGTTTGTTATCTTTGAGATAGGAGAGGGAAATAGAAAGATATGCAGAATTGAAGGTGTTTTGTTTTCAAACATTTAAAAAAATATATTTTTACTGATTTCAGGAAGAGAGAGGGAGAGAAAGATAGAAAGGTCAATGATGAAAGAGAGTCACTGATTGCCTCCTGCATGCCCCTCACCAGGCATGTGCACTTGACCAGAATTGAACTCAGGAACCTTCAGTCCATAGGCCGACACTCTATCCACTGAGCCAGAATGGTTAGGGAGAGGGTTTTTTGTTGTTGTTGATGTCTATTTTTTAGTTTAAGAAAGAAACCCATAGATAGGAAGATTTTGAATACAAAAGAGAGAATATTTTATAGACCTGTGAGAGGAATTGAGATCAAGAGAACAGGTAGATGAGTTAGCATTAGAAAGAAAAGAACTATAGCTCAGGAAAAATACAGATAATTGAGGAGTAAAAAAGGTAGAAAAATTGGCAGTTTAAAGAAGATTAGAGGTCCAGTGCATGAAATTTGTGCACGGTGTGTGTGTGTGTGTGTGTGTGTGTGTGTGTGTGTGTGTGTCCCTTAGCCCAGCCTGACCATCTCCAGTCAGGGACACCATGGTGGGGTTGGACCTAAATGGGCAGTCGGCCATCCCTCTCACAATCTAGGACTGCTGGCTCCCAACCGCTTACTTGTCTGCCAGCCTGATCACCCTCTAACCACTCCCCTGCTATCCTGAATGACGCCTAACTGCTCCCCTACCAGCCCGATTGCCCCTAACTGTCTTCCCTTGCTGGCCTGGTCTCCCCCAACTGCCATCCCCTGTAGGCCTGGTCACCCCAAATTGCCCTCTCCTGCTGGCGTGGGTCACCCCTAAATGCCCTCCCCTGGCAGCCTGGCCACCCTTAACTGCCCTCCCCTACTGGCCTGGTTGCCCCTAACTGTCCTCCCTTGGTGGCCTGGTCACCCCTAACTGGCCTCCTGTGCAGACCTGGTCGCCCCCAACTTTCCTCCCCTGCTGGCCTGGTCACCCTTAACTGCCCTCCCCTGCAGGCCTGGTCACCCCCAACTGCCTTCCCTGGCAGGCCTGGTCACCCCCAACTGCCTTCCCTGGCAGGCCTGGTTCCCCCCAACTGCCTTCCCCTGCAGTCCTGAGCACCCCTAACTGCCCTCTCCTGCTAGTGTGGTTGCCTCCAACTGCCTTCCCTTGCAGGCCTGGTCCCTCCTAAATGCCCACTGCTGCTGGCCATCTTGTGGCGGCCATCTTTGTCCTCGTGGCGTGGCCATCTTGTGTTTTGGGGTAATAGTCAATTTGCATATTACCTCTTTATTATATAGGACTAGAGGCACAATGCACGAAAGTCGTTCCAGCGGCTCAGCCCTAGCAGCCCCGGCTGCCTCAGCCAGCCCTTGCAGCCCTGGCTTTGTTTGGAAGGTGATCCAAATGGTCTTCTGGAAGGTTATCCAGATGATTGTTTTGCTGTTAGGTCTAATTAGCACATTAGCTTTTTATTATATAGGAATAGAAGCCTTGTGCACGAAAATTGTGTACTGGCGGGTGTTGGGGCGGTCCCTCAGCCCAATCTGCCTTCTTTCACTGCATGGGAGCCCTCGGGATATCTTACTGACAGGTTAGCCATAGTCTGGCCTCCCTCTGCAAAAGGCGTCCAGCTGATCATGGCAAGGCACTGACCTCATCACCCCCTTGGTGCTGCTGCTTTTGGCCTCTCTCTGTGGAAGGTGACCAGGCCTTTTAGGGGAAGGCGACACCCACATCATGCCGCTGCTGCTTGCCACTGCTGGCCACCGTGGCTGCCTGAGCCTCATCCTGATCTTCGCAGCTGCAGCCGCCAAACCCAGCTTGCCTGAGCCTTGGCCCAGCCTTTACAGCAGCAGCAGCCACTGCAGCTTTGTCTGGAAGATGTTTGTTCTAATTTGCATATTACCCTGTTATTAGTATAGATTGCTATCTATTATACTTACTGTTGTTTTTTTTTTTTTTTTTTTTTTTAGCAGCTATCAGCTGCCTTGGTACATCAGAAAATTCAGCTAATCTGGGGATTGGCTGGATGACTACAAGGAAAAAACTGGGTACAAAACAAATTGAAGGTAGTTTTTTATGAGAAAACACTAGAATAGGAAACAAGTAGAGTACCTGGCTGATTAAAAGGGCAGGAATGGAGATATTTTAAGAAGTTGTAATTCAATTAAAATGTCTTTTTAAAAAGCATTATTGAGTTGGAAAACCAGGGTTTTAAGAAGGATTATTGCTAGCCTAAGAATTTACTAATATTTTATACATTTGTCCTTTTCTTTAAAATGGAAGGATCTAGGTGTAGCGGAGAATCCAGTAAGATTAAATATCCCAAGTCAGAATTGTCTAGTTCCTGCTCCAAAAGGTAAATTCTTATTAAGATTTGATAACATATAATTTGTTTACTTAAATTTCTTTCTCCATTTTTTTTTTTTTTTTTTACATACAGGAGAGAAAGAGGACCATTATATCTGAGTTACATAGTTTTTTTTGTTTGTTTTTTTTTAACATTTTTTATTTGAAATTAACAAAAAGCACTGTGATTTAGGCAGGTAGGAAAGTAATAATCAAATAAGTGAATTGATAATTTTTTTTAACTTTTGTGAAGGTGACTGGCAGCAATGACTAAGCTAGTTATTCTGTTAATTTACCGCTTACAGGTTTGTTTAGCACATCAGTGAATTACTAATTTTTAATCCCCTATCTTTCTACTATTTTTTTTCTTATTTCTTTCACATAGAACTAAGATCTAGCTTCTGAATTTTTTGTTTTTGTTGAAACTTTAGAAGAGCTTTATGAATTTGAGGAGATGAAAACTGACATTTTATTAGATAGTTTGACAAAAGCACTTTTTGCTCATCTCAGTTCTTTTTTTACTGTTAGTAGAAATAAGACACAATAAAAGTCATTTATGGAGAGTATATTAATGTAGACTAGAAGGGGATATTTGAATAAAACATGCAATCCCCTCTGATCTCAACATGAATCTGTTAATGTTATAAATTTAATTTACCCTCTGAAGTAGATCTAAATATTTGGCTTCTGTTGTATATTCCACCATCAGTATTGGCTGGGTAACCTCAAATCTGAGTTTCTGATAGCTTTTTCACCAATAAAGACCTCAAACTGGATATCTGTTAATTGTCTTCTGTCATTAAAACCTGTCTGCACTGAGCATAGAACCAGGACTCATCAGTTTCCTCTCAAATATCAAATCTTACAACTCTGAATTGACCAGGAGACTAGTTAACACTCTTTTAGGTAGACCAGATTGGGTTAAAGGACATAGAAATAATAATAATGAGGACATGATAAAACTAAAAACAACTAACACATATATTAATTACATCCAGTACATATATATTTACCATGTAACCGACCATTTTAGGGGCTTTGTTTGTACTAACATCCAGTGAAGTGGATTGTATCTTTGTTTTTGTTTTCCAAATGGGGAAACTGAGGCATAGAGGACCATTAAATAGCTTACCTAAAGTCACATAACAAATAAGTGGCAGAATGGGGATTTGAATCTGTGCAGTCTGACTGTAGAACCCATTGTGCTTAGGCATTTAACCACTGTCATATACTTTTTTACACAAAATTTACAAAATTTTTCATTGTGGAAAATTTATATTATTGCCTCTTAGCTGCTTATTTTATTGTATTATATTGGAAGTGTTTTATTTTATAAAATTTATTTCTTTTTTGTAGTTTTATGTGTTTTAATTGAATTGAACTCAGTATTGAAATGATTACTATTTTAAAATGGTTTACTTTTTCAAATTTATTTTAATAATAGTGATAAATGCATTTTGCATAGTAAATACATCTTGTTTTGAACACAGAATACTTTGACTTTGGATGGTGGGCACACAATGCAACTTAAAGATCATGTATCATAGAATTGTATACTTTAAACCTATATGACCCTATTAACCAGCTTTACCCCAGTAAATTTAACTTTTTAATAATATTCATTGTTCTGATTATTACATATATTCTTCTTCTCCCCCAGCCCCAATAGTTCCCCTCCACTAGGTTCCTACCTCACACCAGGCCTTTGGCCCCCCCACTGTCCTTGTCCATAGATGTAAGCTCTTTGTCCAGTGTCCAGTCTCTTCCCACACCCCCCACAACCCCTTCCCCCCGAAAATTGTCAGTCCACTCCCTTTCCATGTTCCTGATTCTATTACATCCACCAGGTAGTTCTGCTCATCATATTCATTTGATTTTTAGATTTACTTGTTGATAGAAAAGTATTTGGTGTCACTTTGTTGTTCATAAATTTTTACCTTTACCTTTTTCTTCTTCCTCTTCTTAAAGAATACCCTTCAGCATTTCTTATAATACTGGTTTGGTGGAGAAACTCTTTATTTGATCTTCAATTCTAAATGATAGCTTTGCTGGATAGAGTAATCTTGGTTGTAGGTTCTAGCTTTGCATCACTTTGAATATTTCTTGCCACTCCCTTCTGGCCTGCATAGTTTCTGTTGAAAATCAGCTGACAGTTGTAATGGGTACTCCTTTGTAGCTAACTAACTGTTTTTCTCTTGCTGCTTTTAAGATTCTCTCTATGTCTTTTGCCCTTAGCGTTTTATTTTTTTAACTTTTTAATTTTTGTGTGAATATTTCATATTTTGCTCATTTTATAAAAGTATTCAGTGTTATGCCCAGATTTCGTGATCCCCAAGGATCACCAGGGAGACGAGTCCGATGCAATAAACAAAAGAGCCTCTTCCATGCTAGCATGGGCTCTGTCCCACTCACAATGACAGCATGGAGGAAGAGCTGCCCTTGGCGTTTTAATTATGATGTGTCTTGATGTGGTCCTCTGTGGATTCCTCTTGTTTGGGGTTCTCTGTGCTTCCTGGACTTGTAAGTTTATTTCTTTCACCAGGTAGGGGAAGTTTTCAGTCATTATTTCTTCAAATAGGTTTTCAATATTCTGTTCTCTTTCTTTTTCTAGCACCCCATAATTTGAATGCTGGTACACTTAAAGTTGTCCCCGAGGCTCATTACACTATCTTCATATTTTTGGATTCTTTTTGCTTTTTGCTTTTCCAGTTGGGTGTTTTTTTTGCTTCTTTGTATTTCAAATCTTTGACTTAATTCTTGGGATTCTCTAGTCTGCTGTTGAATCTCTGTATTATTCATTTCAGTCAGTGTATGCTTAATTTCTGACTGGTCCTTTTCCTTTTTTTTTTTTTTTTTTCATCCTCACTAAGATCCTTAAAGATATCACTAAGTTCCTCCGAGGTTTCTTAAAGACTCTTAAGTAACCTTATAACTGTTGATTTTGAACTCTATATCCAGTATTTTGCTTTCATCCATTTCTTTTATTTGCGACATCTTTCTTTGTCTTTGCATTTTGGCTGCTTTCCTGTGTTTTTTTTTTCTATGTATTGGGTAGCTGATAAGTCTCCTTGAGTTGATAGAGGGGCCTTGTCTGGTAGGTATCCTATAGGGCCCAGTGGCTCAGCCTCCCCAGTTGCCTGCACCCCTTTGTGGGCTGTGTGCACTGTCTTGGTGCACCCCTTTGTGGGCTGTGTGCACTGTCTTGTTGTAATTAAGCCTTGATTGCTGTTGGTATCACTGGGAGGAATTGACCTCCAGGCCAATTGGCTATGAGAACCAGCTGTGTCTATGCTGGAAGAACTGCATATACCCTTTTGGGGCAGGACTTGCTTCAGTGGGGCTCTGGTGCTCACTGAGTCTGCCCTTGACTTTATCACTTATGGATGTGTAGAATTGTAATCTGGTATGGTCTCACACTGAATACTGGGTACACTGGCTTCTTGGATCTCCAAGGAAGTACAAAGTCAGCCACTGCCAGGGGCTGCCCAGCAAGAGCTATAGAGAGGTCTGCAGAATTCTCTTCTTTGTGTTGGGTTTGGAAGTGCCCAGATGAGGTCCAACTGTGTAGCAAGGCAGGCTGCTGCTGCTTCTGCCTGTTTAACAGGTTTTAGGCTGAGAAAGGACAGGCCATTCATGCAAAAGCCATTGTGTACAGCTTGGGTTGGGTTGTAAACTGGGTGGGGTGAGGTCTCAGGGAATCACCGGGGTGGAGCAGACAGCAATGGCTGCCAGTCAGCTCTGCCCCGGAGAGGTCCCCACTTAGGAACAATGATGGCTGTAAGCACTTCTGACAGAAAGCCATCCTTGTGTTCTGTCCTGATGCCAGACAGTCCAGTTTCTCCCTTTATGTGTATGGGTCCCCCAAAGTCTCACCTGGAACTGGAGTTCAGAGCAAGCTGGAGCTTATATCTCCCTCCCGATTAAAAAAGCAGCACACCTGGGTGTCACCACTTTTCGCACCATTGCAACTCCTACCAGTCTCAATGAACTTTCTTCATCTCTACTTTGGACCTGCCACTCAGCCAGCTTTTCTGCAGTTCTGGATGATAGTTGTTCTGCCTTGTAGTTGTAATTTTTCTTTTTTTAATATATATATATTTTATTGATTTTGTACAGAGAGGAAGAGAGGGATAGAGAGTTAGAAACATCGATGAGAGAGAGTCATCGATCAGCTGCCTCTTGCACACCCCCTACTGGGGATATGCACGTAACCAAGGTACATGCCCTTGACCGGAATCGAACCCAGGACCTTTCAGTCCCCAAACCGATGCTCTATCCATTGAGCCAAACCGGTTTTGGCTGTAATTTTGATGTGGTTGTGAGAGGTAGCAAGTATAGGTGTTTACCTATTCCGCCATCTTGATTCTCCTCAATAAATTTAATTTAAAAAAAAAGAAAACAGTGCTTGTAGAAAGTTTGACTTTCATTTATCAAATAAAGTTTTATTTTAATATTTTTCAAAATATAAGTGGGGAAGGACAAAAAGCACTAATATTGCATTTATTAAACATGTTTTTATTTATAAGTTTGTTTTGGGTTGATAAAAAAAATTTGAATATATTTAATTTTAGAAGAAAAACTGCTGTCCAGTATGCTGAGAGCAGCGATTCAGAGGAAGTTGAAACTGGTAAAATGCAACAGAAAATGAAAGGTAATATAAAATGGATTTGATTTGATGGTATGTCCTGTATTCTATTTTTTTATGTGAGCATTTTTGTATTTGGTTGTTTGTAGGCAAACTGGGAACTACACAATCAGAAAGTAAAAGCAGAATTAAAGGTCTGTATGTACATTTCACTACCTGTAATCTACACTTCAAATTATTAAAGAAAAGAACATTGATTTGCATCTCTCAAACTTAGAATTCTTTCATAATAGGTCTTAAACTTGATTGCAGTCAATATATGAACTATTCATGGAGCTTACCAGGGATATTAATTAAATGAGGCAAATTGAAAGAATAGTTTCAAAATAAAATGTAAGAGGAATTATTTAAATCAACTTTAAATAAGACAAAATGATTTTTTTACAACTTATAAAATTACTTTGATAAAACCTTATTCATATCTGTCTAAATTGTAATTTCAAAAGTATGGTAGGAGTATGTTCTTGGAAATAGTTTATTCACATTGTCATACAAATGTATGAATTAGCAATGATTCTTTTTACTTTTTCCTTTATTTTTATTTTATTTTATTTTTTTAAAATATATTTTATTGATTTTTTTACAGAGAGGAAGGGAGAGAGAGAGTTAGAAACATCGATGAGAGAGAGTCATCGATCAGCTGCCTCCTGCACACCCCCTACTGGAGATATGCCCACAACCAAGGTACATGCTCTTGACCGGAATCAAACCCGGGACGTTTCAGTCCCCAAGCTGATGCTCTATCCATTGAGTCAAATCGGTTTCAGCTTTTTCCTCTATTTTTAAAACATATTCTTTATTTTCTTTTCTGCTAAATAAGATCATATTGTTTCCTAATTACCTGAGAAATTGCATTTGGAAAATAACTCATCAACATTGATTGATGTGAAAATTGGGCATCCTTATTAAAAATCAAATACCTGTTTTCTTGAAAAAATTCTCCTTCCACCTGGGAGCTGAATCACTTTGCATATGGCTGCTTCTACTTTTATTTCTCTTCCTCAGGAAGATATGCTTAGTGTCAGAAGAGGCAATTTTGGTTACCAGACATTATTTTATTCTTTTTTAATAATATAAGCTCTTAAGGTAATGTGGCATTGGTATTCTATTTTCTATTCTGAGAAAGTACCTGTGCCTAAGCACAGGAGAAAATGTTTTCAAATATCTTAATGATTCTGTGGTTTTTAACTTCTTCAGGATCTTCTAAGGTTAAAGAAGATACAGAGTTTGCATGTGCACTTACTTCATCTATTCCTGCAACAAAAAAGAAAATGTTGAAAAAGGGTCAGTAAATCTGCAAGGTTTTGAGCTTTTGTTTGTTTGCTTTTTTTTCAGTGAAAAAAAAAATGACAAAAGTTATAAAACCATATTATATGAAAGTAGAGAAAGGGAAAAAAAATACACAATCCCTTTTAAAAAAGATGTTTTGATGTGTTTTCTGTCCAGTACCTTTTGTATTGTATTTATTTTAGTTAGGAGGGAAATTGATGGGAGGAAGTCCCTTTATCATCTGAGTAGCAGGGATATTTCTTCTAGTGAAGGCACAGATCAATTTATGTCTGCTTTAAAAATGTAATTTAATTTAAATTATAATAAAGGTTTACTACTTGGTATAAGTAGAATCTGCTTTTCACTTAAGAATGTCAGTGATCTTTATTTATTGTAATTTTGTATTTTTTAATTGATAGGAAATCAACACTGTTTAGAAGTCTCAATATTGGAGATAGAAAGAGATTGAACTAGGATTAAGGAGATTCGGGACAATTTATATCTCTGTATCTTAGATTTCTCTATTTTACATGTTGCAGATATAACAGACAAAAGTGTATTCTCATGGAACTTATACCTAATTATGGGAAAAACATAAAATTAATAAACATTATTATAGATAATGAATGCTGTGAAAAAATAAAGGAAGGTGATGAAATAAAGATTAACTGAAAGAGTCTGTGTAAGGTGATATTTGAGTTAACACAGAATGATGAAAAAGAACTAACTTTTTGCCTAAGAATCAAACAATTTGGAATAGAAAATATAGGCATTTCAGATAGATTATTTTTAATCCCAATTTTAGGAATTTTAAGAAATTTTGAATTTAGTTGAGATGTGATTTAGATAGAATTAGAAATGAAATAGAATTAAGTTCACACAAAAAGTTCCTTTCAGTTGCAGACACATAGTGATAATACAGGAGAGAAACTTAAAAAAAAAAAAAAAAATCACAGCTGATCTAAAACCCAAATAAAGATATTTCTGGAATAAATACAGAATAAAAACAAAAACCAGTGCATGGAGCTAGAAATCATGGATTGCAATAAATAGTGATTTTAAAATAATAAGACACACAAGTGCATAGAAAAAGATTAAATTCAACATTTAAAATTTCCATGCATCAATAGATACCATAATTGAAAAATGTTAAGGCTGAAGAAGATATTTGTGATTAAATGTAACTTAGGAAGGATTAATATCTAGAATATGTAAAGAACCCTCTGTTGTCATTTAGAAAAAGACAGAACAGTAGGGGAATAGCCTCTAAGAATATAAATATAAAGTTCTAGGAAAGAAAACCCCAAAAACCAATAAATATAGGAAAATATATGCAGATTCAATCATTCGGGAAATGCAAATTAAGGGAACAGTGAGATATTCTCTCACCCATCATATTCACAAACATTTAAAAATCTTAATGCCAAATAGGCAAGGTTGTGAGCACAGGAAGTCTCGTTCACTGTAGATGGGAATATAAATTACTATGGAGAACAGCTAGACCAAATGTAATGAAGCTAAAAATAGACCACCTAGAACTCTATAGATTTGTACAAGGAGATATATATGAAAAACCAGTTTTTAGATGCCTTATTTAGTGAAATATTGGAAATAATGTAAATATTGTCCAATAAGGAAATCTATAATAATAAAAGAGTAATATGCTAATTAGACTGGACATCTTCCAGATGTTCATCTGTTCAAGGTCACAGTGGCTGCGAGGGCCAAGGGCCGGTGGCACAGGAGAAGGAGAAAAGCCCCTCACTCCACGGTCCCAGGTGCCAGCACCTGCAGCTGTGGCCCAGGAGAGGGAGAAAAACCACCCACCCCATTGTCCCTGGGGCTGTGGCCAGCCCGGGTAAAGCCAGCCTGGTCCCAGTTGCCTGCAGGTGTGGCCAGCCCAGGTCCTAGGTGCCTGTGGCTGGACAGAGGGAGGGAAGCCCAAGTCCTGGATACCTGCGGCTGGCTGGATGAGGGAATCTTGGGCTCTGGGTGTAGGAACAAGGCAGAGGTGGTTAAGGGTGATCAGGCTGGCAGGGGAGGAGTTAGGGGTGATCAAGCAGGCAGGCAGAAGTGGTTAGGGGCGATCAGGCAGATGAAGGGGTTGGAGTGATCAGGCAGGCAGGTGAGTGGTTAGGAGCCTGTGGTCCCAGATTGCGAGAGGCATATGCAACAGGTCCCAGATTGGAGAGGGTGCAGGCCAGGCTGGGGGGACCCCCCCCCCCCCCGTGCATGAATTTTGTGCACCAGGTCTCTAGTCTATAATAACAAAAGTGTAATATACTAATTTGACCAGACGTCCTTCTGGACGTCCTTCCGGATGAAGGCGTGGCTGCGAGAGAAGCCCAGTTCCCAAGTGCCTGCCAGTAGCTGGAGGGAAGCCTGGATCTCGGGTGCCAGAGGGAAGGCGGTGCCTGCAGCCAGGGGAAGGAAGTCCTACTCTTCCATGCATTTTGTGCATCAAGCCTCTAGTGGAAAATAAAATTGGAGGGTATTTTTTCATAGGCTACCTGAGTATCCGCATAACATGGCAGTTGGCTTCCCCCAGAGAAAGTGATCAGGGTAAGAGAGAGCATCTAAGGGAGAGAAGCTGCATTTTTTATAAATTAGTCTCAAAAGTGATATGTCACTTCTGACATATCCTTTTGGTCTACTGACCAACCTCAGTGGAGTGTGGGGTGGGACTACACAAGGTTGTGACTATCAGGAAGTGGATTATCATTGGGGGCCATCTTGGTGTCTGGCTACCACATTAACCATAGTCCAAATTCAGAGAATTGCATAAAACAAATGTTCATCCTAATGAATAATTTAATGAATATCAGTGGGTATTTGAAACTTCCTCCTTGTGTCCCCTTCTAGTCATAATTCTTTACCTCCCCCATGAATAGTCACTATCTAGATCACATGTGTCAAACACAAGGCCCGCGGGCCAAATCCGTCCCGCCAGGCCTTGCAATGTGGCCCACACCGCGCTGTCATCACTGCACTCCGCTGCGTTTCCATCACAATGACAGTTTATGACTGTTCAGTAAACCATTCGGCCCGCGATTTAGGCTGGATTTTAGATTTTGGCCCCTTCTCTGATTGAGTTCGACACCCCTAATCTAGATATTTAGCTGTTTAAAGTGGCAAAGTAAAAATCTAGTTACTGTTCCTTCTTTAAAGCTGAAAACAAGTCCATCTGCTTCATTTTAGTTCTTCCTAATTTCTTTTTTCATAGAGGCACATTATTGTCATTTCTTTATTGACTGTTTATTTGTGGGTGGGGGAAACACTTAATATTAGTGCTGCTGATTTATTCTTTCAGGAGCATCTGCAGTGGAGGGCTCAAAGAAAACTGATGTAGAGAGACCAAGAACAACACTGATCATCTGTCCACTTTCTGTGTTAAGCAACTGGATTGTAAGTCTTCACAGCCTTTTAAAAATGTGAAATAATTTATATTTCTTATAAGATAAAAAAAGCAAATAGCCTATTAGCGTGTCATATGTTGGGAGAAATATGCCTGGTCAGCATTTTATATCTAAGGTCAAATAGGCGAATTGGAGATGTTGCTGAATTGAAGGAATTTTTCTCTGAAGATTTAGAATTGGAAAGAGACATCATCAGTTCCTATAATAAGATTTGCACGTCTGCCTCTCACATTTCTATCCCCCAAAGTAGGAAATGTGTATAATTTAACACCATCATATTTATGAACTATTGGAACATTTTTTAAGAATTCCACTAATAGCTTTTAACATTTAGTGAGCTTCTGTGTGCTCCATTTTTCCCTAAGTTCTTTTTACAGATTTTCTCATTTAATCTCACAACTATTCTTATTTTCCAGGTGACCAAGTGGAATCATAGAGAAATTAAGTAACTTGCCTAAAGTCATACAGCTAATAAATGATGGAGCTAAGATATGGTCACCAACATTCCGACTCTTAGAGCCTTTATTTTAAGGCTACCTGCCAGGAAATATGCTTGTTTGTGTTTTCTGCCAGATTGCTTTGCTGTTCTAAAACATTGTATTGGAATGAAATATATTTATGTATTATGTGTAAGGAGTAGCTTGGTTATGTTTTCAGTTTGAGCTTCATTCTGCATGTTATAGTGAAACTAGAGGCCCGGTGCATGAAATTTCATGCAGGGCAGGAGGGTCCTTCAGCCCGCCCGATCTGCACCCTCTCACAGTCCAGGAGCCCTTGGGGGATGTCAAATGCGGGCCTAAGCCAGCAGTCAGACATCCCCTTGCACTCTGGGCCCCCTTCCTTCTTAACATCCATCTGCAGTGGAGGTGGGAGAGGCCCTCGCCACCACTACTGCACTCGCCAGCCATGAGCCTGGCTTCTTGCTGAGTGGCATTCCTCCTGTGGGAGCACACTGACCACCAGGAGTCAGGTCCTGCATTGAGCTTCTGCCCTCTCATGGTCAGTTCATGTCATAGTGGCCAGTTGTTCCACCATTCAGTCAATTTGCATATTAGTGTTTTATTATATAGGATAATGAGTCTATTGGAAGCACTGTAAACATAAAGACTACTAGAAGTGAGTTTCCATTCTTGTCACTTCTAAAATTATCTGCCTTTCTCTTAATCTTTCTAATCTGAGAGTGGAAGAGGTCCTACTCTTTGTACCTTAGACTACTCATTGGATTCTGTCTCTTCCAGCCTTTGCTTTTCATTTGTTATTTTCTCCCTTGCTGGTTATTCAGCCTATCCTCACTGGCTCTTTCATGAAGCATAGATATTTTTCATTTTTAAATACTTTTCTCTGGATTGTCTCACACTTAAATTGCTACTGTGCTATACTTTCTTACACTGTCATACCTCATGGGATTTTCACTTTGTACTTTCCTTACTAACAACTCATTGTAATCTGGTTTCTGTCACTAATTTTCTAAATTGCATTGGAAAATATTAATAGTTATTATCTAATTATAAAATTCTATGGCTTTTTAAATTTCTTTTTGACTTTATGTTGCCTTGCTTTCTTTGACTTATCTTTCTTTCTTTTTTTTTAAAATATATTTTTATTGATTTTGTACAGAGAGGAAGGGAGAGAGATGAGAGCTAGAAACATCGATGAGAGAGAGAGTCATCGATCAGCTGCCTCCTGCACACCCCCCACCGGGGATATGCCCGCAACCAAGGTACATGCCCTTGACCGGAATCAAACCCGGGACTTCTCAGTCCCCAAGCCGACGCTCTATCCATTGAGCCAAACTGGTTCTGGCTGACTTATCTTTCTTTAAAAAATATATTCTTACTGATTTTAGAAAGGAAGAGAGAAACATTGATCAGTTGCCTCCCACACACATCCTAACCGAGGATCCACAAACCCTGACTAGAGATTGAACCTTCAACTTGGGCATGTACCCTGACTGGAATTGAACCAGCATGGGTCAACACTCAACCAACTGATCCACAGCAGCTAAGATAGTTTACATTTTTGTTACAACTTTGTTTTGTTTTTTAAATTAGACCTTCTCCTGTTTAGTGTGCCATTTCTCCACAATGAATTTTGCTTCTCTGTTGCTCTTTTTAAATTCCAACAAAATTATGCTTTTTCTTTTTCTTTTTTTTAAATATATTTTATTTTTTACAGAGAGGAAGGGAGAAGGATAGAGAGTTAGAAACATTGAGGAGCGAGAAACATCAGCCAGCTGCCTCCTACACACATCCTACTAGGGATGTGTCCGCAATCAAGGTACATGCCCTTAACCGGAATTGAACCTGGAATCTTTCAGTCCACAGGCCAACACTCTATCCACTGAGCCAAACAGGTTAGGGCATGCTTTTTCTTTTGATGTGTTTTCTATCATGGGAAGAACAGTACATGAGTATTTGAATGCCATTTTTAGGGGGAGATTTCCAAATATTAATGGAGATATAGACAACTGAACTGATTTTTTTTCTTTATATATTTTTATTGATTTCAGAGAGGAAGGGAGAAGGAGAAAGAAATAAAGACATCAATGGTAAGAGAGAATTATTGATCAGCTGCCTCCTGCACATCCCTAGGGATCGAGCCTGCAACTTGGGCCTGTGCCCAGATTGGGAATTGAACTGTGACCATCTGTCTAGTTCAGGGGTCTGCAACCTTTAAGACATAAAGAGCCACTTGGACCCGTTTCCGAAGGAAAAAAAAACACCTGGGAGCCACAAAACCATTGCGACATTTAAAACAAATATAACGCTGCATATTTTGTTTCTTACCTTAATGCTATATACCGGATCGTGCAGTTAGCTGTCAATCTGAAGAAAAAAAGGACTTTTTCACTTAACAATGTAAAATATATTTTTGCAAATTAATAGCTAATTAAAATATTTAATTTACCTGGTTAATGGGCTTTTTGCTCCTGAACCTCAGTGCACAGTGTCAGCACATCAGGGCTGTAAGACGTTACCTTCATTTTCACACAGGCTTGCCAGTTGTCGGAGCCGCAGTAAAGCTTCAAAAGAGCCGCATGCGGCTCTGGAGCCCTAGGTTGCCGACACCTGGTCTAGTTAATAGTTTGATATTCAACCACTGAGTCATACCGGCCAGGCCAGAACTGATTTCTTAAGAGCTTGGAGTATGGATATATATTTTTAAAATGAATACTCAAGGTGCTGAACCACAACACAGTGTATACAGATGATGTGTTATAGAATTGTGTACCTGAAACCTGTATAATTTTGTGTAACCCCAGTATATTCAATAAAAGTTGGAAAAAGGAGGAGAAGGTTGAATTCACCTCCCCACCCCCCACCCCCCCCCAAAAAAAAATTTGGTACTCAGTGTTTTATTATAATTTTATGTTTGAAAAACAACAGTTTTGATAATAAAAACTTCAGAAAGAAAAACTTGGCAAAATCTTGCCTACTGATGTGTAAAAACTGATATTTCTAAAAATGTTAAGGAATGGTTTGGCATATAGGGATTCCTGGCCAAGAATTAGAATTTTATAATCTTTCAACAAACTATTCTCTTTCTGGCTCCCAAATAAATGACCTAGCACCCTAATAAGCAGGCTAGAACTACCTTATTTCCATTTCTTTGTCTTCAAAGATGGACAAGATTCTAGTTAAAGGATTAAGATACCAATATCACTTCTACACTTACTTTTTCTAGATTTTGAGATCAGTAATTCATCCTCCCACTGTAAAATGAAATAACATCTATTTCATTCACACATACATACACAGTCATATAATATAGCACAGTGGCAAGAAATTCAATATTAGCATTCTCTTTCTCCATAAAAGTTAGTTTTTTTCTATTTTAAGTTTAAACCTTCCACAAATATGCTGTGTTCAATTTCAAGGCAATTCCATTTATTCTTTTTTCTCACACTGGACTCATTTTCCACCAGATTTTTTTTATAACAATTTTCTGTGTTTTCACCTTTACTCTTTCATGTTTTATCTTCTCTTCTCTTTTTCCCGACACTGTTTCAGGTTTCATTCTCTTTTCAAGCCCACAGTAGTTTGGTAATTGCTCCCACGCTCTCTAGAAACTCTTTGTGAAGGCCTTCAGTGACCTCAATGTTGCTCTGACTAGCCAGTTCTCTTTTTCCCCCCACTTTGCTAATAGTGTTTATCTTAAATGGGTGCTGGATTTTATCAAATGCTTCTTTTGCATCTAATGATATGATTATGTGATTTTTATCCTTCATTTTCTTTATGTGGTGTATCACACTTTGCTTTGTATATTGTAACAGCCTCGTATCCCCAGAATAAATCCCACTTGATCATGGTGTATAATCTTCTTAATGTATTGCTGGATTGTGTTTGCTAAAGTTTTGTTGAGGATTTTAGCATCTATGTTCACCGGAGATTTTGGCCTATAATTTTTATTCTTTGCTGTGTATTAGAATTAGGATAATGCCTGCCTTGTGAAATGAACTTGAGAGTCTTCTCTCTTCTTGAGTTTTTTTAATAGTTTGGGAAGGATACCTGTTTATGTTCTTTGAATGTTTGGTAAAAGTCACCTGTAAAACCATTCAGTTCAGTACTTCTGTTTTGGGGGAGGGAGGTTTTTTAAATTAATATTACTGTTTCAGTTTCACTTGTTGTAATCTGTCCAGTTTCTCTGATTATTCCTGACTAAGCTATGAAAGATTGTATGTTTCTAGGAATTTATCTATTTCATCTAGATTATTCAATTTGTTGGCACACAGTTATTCAAAATATTTTCTTACAATCTTTTCTGTTTCTTTAGTGTTAGTTATTACTCTCTTTCATTTCTGATTTTATTTATTTTGGGTCCTCTCTCTTTTTTTTCATTTTCCTTATTTGAAAAATGTATCTTTATTCTTGAAAGTGTTACAGATGTCCACTTTTCCCTTTGCCCAAATTACCCCCCTCCCGCCAGACTTCACCACCCTACTGTCTGTGTCCATGGGTTATTCATATATGCATATAAGTTCTTTGGTTA